AAGGTACCACGTGCGGGCAGGCGGCTGCATCTCGGTCAGGTCTCTGCATCTCGGCGGCTTCTCGGCTGCATCTGCATCTCGCCTGCTTCTCGGCTGCATCTGCATCTCGGCTGCATCTCGGCTGCATCTCGGCTGCGTCTCGGCTTCATCTCGGCTGCATCTCGGCGGCGTAACCACCCTCGACGGCGCGCTCCATCGAGCCGTCGGGCCCGCGCAGTGCCAGGCCGGGGCCGAGCGCCGCGCAGACCGTTGCGGCAAAGAGGGCGGCGACTGGCGCCGAGGGCGTGAGAGGGCGTGAGAGGGCGTGGAGAGGGGTGGAGAGGGCTTTTAGCGGCGGCGGGTCAATCGGGGAGGGCGGCGTGGAGGGCCGAGGGTGGTGAGGGCGGCGGGAGACCGTTGAGGTCCATCGCGATGGTTGTGACGAAGAGGTAGGTCGAGCGCATCGTCGTGGACGAGTCGGGCGGGAAGAAGTACGAGGCGAGGCAGCATCCCTGCAAAGACGGGACCGACGGGGCGTGAGCCAAAAGCGCTCGACGCGCGTCGCATGGCACCAGGCCATCCACACAATCGCACACACAATCGCAAACGGCCGAGGACGGGCGCAAAGAATCGGGAGAGGTGAGGGCCTCGCCTCGTACGCAAAGCCGGCAAAGACTCCGCTCATCGTGCCGATGTTGCGAAAGCACGATGTGTATAGATTGAGCTCGCGCTCGCGGATGGCGAGCAGCGACACTTTGAGGTCCGTTTCGAGGGCCTGCTTGTCGGCGTAGAGCATTGTCTGACAGCTCCTACTAGCAATCTCTGCAGCCACAGGAGAACCGCCTGCACGCCTTCGGGACAAAGAATTCCGGTAGCCCAGGATCGTGTAAGGCCCTCCCTTGGGTTGTCTGTTTTCTTTCTTTCTTTCTTTCTGTAAGGCCGTCCTCCCATCCCTCCCTTGGGTTGTCGGTTTCCTTCTTTCTTCTCTTTGTAAGGACGATCTGGGACACAGGGGAACGGGAGCGGGGAGCGCATCGCGACACGGAGGGGGGCTGGGCAGGGTTCACCCACGCTCGACCTCCTACTTCCTCATGATCCACCGCCGCCACCCTCGCCTCGCCCTCCCGACGCCTAGCCGCTCGCCTGCCGCTCGCTCGCACGTTCGCGCTCGACCTTCTACCTCCTCGTGATCAACCCGCCGCCACCCTAGCGCAGTGTGTGTGTGTGTGTGTGTGTGTGTGTGTGTGTGTGTGTGTGTGTGTGTGTGTGTGTGTGTGTGTGTGTGTGTGTGTGTGTGTGTGTGTGTGTGTGTGTGTGTGTGTGTGTGTGTGTGTGTGTGTGTGTGTGTGTGTGTGTGTGTGTGTGTGTGTGTGTGTGTGTGTGTGTGTGGATGTGTCTGTGTCCCTGTCGTGTCGTGTGTGTGTCGTGTGTTTAACTCTCGCACTAGCTCTCGCCCTCTCGCAAGCCTGGCGCCCTGGCCTCCGCCCTAACCGCCCGGCGGCCCGCACGCTCGACAGAACCCGGACGACGTGCGTGTTTCCTTCTCTACGAAAACACACACTCCCAAGTCAGCGCCATCGAGCAGCCATCGAGAACAACAAGACTTATATTACCCAAAAGCTAGGCCCACAACGCCCTCTATGTTGGGTCAAGGCGGGCGCCTACAACAAGACTTTGGCGAGCCAACGCAGCCGAGAGATAAAATCTTCGCAAGAGGAGAGCCAGGCCGCACAGCGCGAACTCGGTACTCGCCGCCGTACTGAGCCTAGCGCAGCGCGAACTCGCCGTCTGAGCCTAGCGCAGCGCGAACTCGCTCCTCTCGCTGCGCAACCCTAGCCGCGCAGATTTTTCTTCTTTTGAGGCGCCGCCTTGGTGCCGACAGCCTCTCGCCATTCGCGGCATGGAAATCACAGTGGTCGAGGCGTCCGGCGCTCGGGAGAAGGTGGCGGTCGGGCAGCAGGCCACGCTCGGCGAGCTGCGGCGCCGCATCCTCTCGCTCTCGCTCCGCTCGTGCACGCTTGCCCGCTCGGCGCCCGCCAAGACGCTGCACATCTGCTTTGACGGCGGGGTCCTCGGCCCCGATCGGGACGCGACGTCGTTGGTCGCGCTCGGCGTCACCGGTGCGCCCGTCGTGGTCGTGATTCTCGCCTCGGCTGCAGCAGCGAGCGGACAGGCGCCACCGCAAGGCCCGGCCCTCGGTTCGTCCTCCTCTCCCTCCTCCCTCGGGCAGCCGACCCGGTCCGCAGAGGAGGGAGGCGGCGAGCCGCCGCCGCCGCCACCGACCGCCGCCGCCCCCGCCGCCTCCCTGGACCCGCCCGAGGAGCCGCTGCTCTGCCGCACCTGCCATTGGGCGGGAGACAGAGGGCCACTTCCCCGAACCTTCCGGGAACTGTCGCATAGGACGCGCTCTGCCGGATCTGCTTTGGCGGTGAGGGGGAGAACGGGCTCGGCCGGCTCATCGCGCCCTGCCTCTGCTCCGGCCCGATGCCGCTCGCGGACGCACGCGCCCACACCATTCCGCTCAGCCGCCAGCCGCCGCCCGAGCTCCTTGTC